AAAATGTATGAAGACATTATATATAGCAGATTAACAGTGAGCATTTGCTCTCATAACTGTGGGGCAAAATATAGTTAAGATTCTGTCTATTTAATCTGCTTTAGTCTAAGTTAAATACGGGGTGTATATGTAGTATAGCGGGGAATGCATGAAATGTAATATGTATATGCTACTTTAAAAGTAGTTGCAGCTATTTAAATTATAGATTTTGTAAGAAAAAATAAAAATATGTGCACAATTTCTATTTTTCTCTAATCGCGTTACAATAGAATTTGAGTTTGAAACTTATAACTTTAAAAAAATTACAGACAGTATTCCTTGTCATACTGATTATAATATAGAACTCCAAAAACTAACAATAGTACAATTTAAACATATATACTGTCACAATTTTATAATTGAAACATCTAATTAATACATTGATACTCAGGCCTCGATCGAACAAGAACGAGAGTACATGAGAATTGGCAATCAAACGATCTTGGTTAGCTGTTCTTAATGCTTTCCCCCAACATTATCATATACTCTTGATATTTGCTGTGTTGGTGTAATGTACTCAGGTGAATAAGATGCTTGTGTGATGTTATTTAAGTTAAGACATAGTTGGAACACTCACAAAACCTTTATTTTGTTAATCTAGCGCTTGAAATGGTCCTGGTAACTTCGTGACTGCCAATTCTCGTTAACTCTCATTAGAGAGTTTAAGCTTCGCGTTATACGGCAAACGGCAAACGCCAGGCAAAGAAAACATTTACGGTATTAGGCAATAAAGAGTAAATGAACTTGCTGTTTTAAAACTGAAATACATAATTATTCTTTCGACGCAAGAAAGAAAATATGAAACGAAAACGTTCAAAGAAAATTTTGCCAAGAAAGTTCGAACCTGCCGTTTGCCGTTCCCGGAAACGTGAAGCTTAAACTCCCCTGATTAATTCTCGTTTAAAGGGGCCCAAGAACGTACTGACAGCCAATTTTAAAACTTACTAAAAACCGATTTACACTACACAACGTTTGCCTAAAACTTTCGCATGTATTAAACCTGCTTACAATTTGAATTGTACTGTGTATAAACCAAGCACGCGACTCGCCAATGACAACGTACGTAGCCGAGTTGAGTGCTTGATTTACACAGTACAACTCAAGTTGCAATCACTAGGTTGCATGCGACAGTTTTAGGCAAAAGTTGTATAGTGTACATCGGCTTTGATAGTGATTAATCTATTTTAGTAAACCAAATCGAATCATTTTGCAAACGGTCCATGGAGTTTCTCCACTTAATTTTTCATTCCAGATGGGATAATGGGAACAGCGAAGGCACATCCACTTTCAATACCGAGATTGTATTTATCTCCTTCGCCTTGCTTGTACGCACTTGTAACGATTCTCAACCATCCTTTCTCTCCCCAGGGCCTCCCCCAGGAGTTGCGAACAATCCAGTATTCAGTACCATTCTCCACACCCCACCCGGCCACAGATACAACATGGTTGATACCAATATCTTCGTTGTATTCTGAGTATATCCCACCTTGATAGGCATCTAACTTGGGTGTGGCCATGATTCCACAAGCAATAGGACCACGTTGGTGAATTTCTGCTTTCATCTTATCTAGACCGTTAACGCGACCTGGTTTGAAATAACGGGAAAAGAATTTAACATGATATCACTTTGCATAGGATGAAAAGAATTTCTTTAGATTCAGGTCACTATACGAATTCAACTAATATTGCACAACAAATTTTGCATGTAGTTTTATCACTTTATATATCAATTTTCACTGAAGAAAGCCCGAAAAATGCTGATTACGAAGAAATACGTTTAGTGGGGGTTTACCTAAAACTTTTTTTGTTCTGCTCGACTAAAGAGGAATACGAGTATTCCCTAAAAGCAAGAAAATAAGTGTACAATTTCCCGTAATCGTCTTTTAGATATCGCAATTGAATCTTCATACGTGAAGTAAACGTGTGCGGTCGCGATCGCTTTCTCTTTATTTTTTTTAATTTGATTATGCCGTGTTTTTACGGCTGTGCATGTAGACTATGATGACGATTCCAATTAACATCACGATAAAACAATGAATAATGAAAAAGGTGCAGCCAGGGGCGAAACTATCTCCTTTTAATTAGGGGGGGTGTCTGCTAGAATTGCCCTGCGAAAGCCGATGATGCCCTGCAGCATTTTTTTTGGCCACTCTTTCTCCAAAATGGGGGAGGTCGAAAAATTTTTTTCCGGACATTCAGAAAAGGGGCGAAAAAAGTTTTCCGGACATAAACCAATTAAATTAAGGGTCAAAAATTTTTTTTCGGACAAATTCCTGTTAAAACATACATGAAACCCTTATTATTTTACCAATATCTGTAAAATTTAGGTCGATAAATTCTATTCAATTCCCTCTGGAAGCCCTGGAATCTACTTAATAACTCTACATTCATTTAAAATCTTTCATTGCCCTGCCAATCCAGATGATTTGCCCTGCCAATCCAGATGATTTGTACTTTGAGGAGTGTCACACCCCCCACACCCCCCCTCAAGTTTCGCCCCTGGGTGCAGCTACCTACCAACATAAGTTTAAACCCGAGTTTCGAAACCGCAAAGTTGGATCCAAGCTAGCGGATCATGCGGGCCGAACCAATCAAATGTCGCGTAAGATTTGCATTACAAATCTTCGTAGCGAATCGTTCCATGCGACATCGTCTTCCACAAACGTCAGTGGTATATTTACAAAGCTATTAATGTTGCTTACCGTACTCGCTAACTTTAAAATGAGTGTAGTTGGCTATGGAATAACACTGTCCAGAATGAGAGCAAGTCTTGCATTGATGTTCCTTATCGCAGTCCTGATCCTTGGCTTGATAGTTATTACACGTTTCATCTGGGATACCGTCCGTATGTGCGTATGCATACACCGGGATCATACTGCCTCCTTCACATGAACCTGCATTGCCTGGAAAAAGTAATCATTAATCATTATACTCTTATTAATAAATCACGCAAATCCTTTGTGGCCACTGATTGGCTGACGGAAAGTGCGGTTTCGTGGACGCAAGGGCCCTAGAAAAGCTGGAGAAACAACATCAGGGTGAAAGCAAGGGACCTTTTGTGTTGCCTCAAACGCCGTTGGAACCAGAGTGAACTGAGCATTTGAGATCAAGTTTGGCTAGTCTTTTGCTGATAACTGAAGAATGTCATGTCGACGCAAGAGCCCCAGAAAAGCTGAAGAAACAACATCAGGGTGAGAGCAAGGGCCCTTTTTTCCTTTTATGTTGTCTCAAAGGCCGTTGGAACCAGAGTGAACTGAGATCAAATTTGGCTAGTTTTTTGCTCATAACTGAAGAATGTCGACTTAGCAAAATGTTAAATGGGTACTTGGACACAGAGACTCGGACCTGCATTGAGCGGTCACCCTGTATTAAGCGGTTGCTTGCGAAATCCCCGCGAGTGACCGCTTAATTAACCAGTGGCCTAACTCAGGTTCGACTGTATAAATGAAAGCAACTACAGGAGGTCATTATTCCCTCTAGTTGTCCTACAGATGTCATGCATGAGTTCATTTTAATGTCAACTGTAAGTGGAATATATAGTTCAAGCAGTCAAGACCTTGGCGTTAGAGTATGTCAAAAATATGGTTTGGATGTTCAAAACTGCAATGAGATGTCTGATCACTGAAATGGATACAGTCAGGGCGCAGTAGGTGTTTACAAAGGAATTAAAAGCAACCTACCACAATCAATGACATTTTGAGCGGAAAGATAATTCACTGGCCACACGCCTTTCCTCTGAATGTTAATTCTGTCAGATAAGGCACTGGTGGTTCCCATTGCCCAACATGAACCACAATATTGCGGGATGTGTTGATTACGTGTTACACTCACGTAGTTCTTGCCATCAATATTTCTCCAATCCCAAGAAGCTGGAAGGTCTTTGACGTTGATGTACTCGTGAGGGCGAGGCGTTTTACTGTTGGAAATATACCTTTCATTATTTACATTATTGTAAAAGGGATTTATGGGGTGTTTGGATGCCAAGTAAAGTGAACTTTATCAGTAAGATATTTTGTCTGATTCAAAAATAATAACAGTTGATCAGTTTTATTCAACTCGAGTGAAACTCTTGATGTTAGTGATATACTTCATTTTTAATATAAAGTGCATGAAGAGATTTTATTGCTTTGAAACAAACTTTGCGGGTCCTTGCCATTTGTGGCCTTTGGTTATTTTCAATAACACTGGCTGTAAATTTCTGCGCGTACGTCATTTAATGACGCATTAATTAATAACTCTATTAAAAATGAAAATATTATGCAAGGTTTTGAAACATGATATTGCATTTTATAAATCGCGATCACCGATGTAATTAAAATCAAATAGAGAAAGAATAAGGGTGAAATTTTGCCAATTTTAACCGATTTGAGCCCAGAAAGACAATTCTAACACTCAGGTTTAACAGTTTTATTTCCGAACAACCAGCTGTTGGCCTCATTTTGTTCATGACTTTGTGTCATCACTGCGAGTGCGCGACAGTAAAAAGTGTGACCACAGACGCCGGCTGGTCACACAATATATCCAAACATACAGCCATGATTTTGCCATGATTATAAAACAAGTCCGTGCAACTTTCATACAAGAAAAAAGCTCGGTAAAAGTACAAAACTTACATTACTTCTTTGAAATTCCTGTCCAACTCAGGATTAACATAGCACGCCGGTCTATTACGAATGTTGCGAGGCTTACAGCCTTGAACTACATACAGACAAGCGAACGAGAGATACAAGTAGAACAGAGCCATTACGAACCAACCGTTCTTTGCCAAAGTTCACCACAGACTGCGTCAAGACAGGAAAGGTCTCTCAAGTTTAGTTTGTGTAAAAATATTGACATTATCTCATGTGAGGTGCACGTGAGTCACATGATGGGAGAAGGAACTACTTTATGCAAATTGCCGTCTTAGGAAGTTTCTCTTTCATAAAAATGATTTATTCATATATCTAATGAAAATCCATTTCATTAAAAAGTTTCGCTTTCAACTATAACGTTTTCCTTTCATTACAAATTTTAAAAATTTTCCCTTTTATAAGTAAATTTTGCCGACACCTATTTGTATATGCCAAGGGGGAACACCACAGCACTCCAATTAGGTTTATATTACGACATATTTTTCAAAAATTCACCTTTACCTCAAATCACTCCAAACCTTCTAGAAGTGACCAAAAATGTTTTCTTTGGTCAAAACGATGACTTTCAACTTGCGGAAACATGTTTTACCAAAGCCGATTTTAAAATTTTAGTTGCCGGGAGGGGTGAGGGGGGCAGTGATGCCGGTTTTTGAGTTATTCTTTAATCATTCAAAATTTTTCCCAAATCACTCCAAACAAAACATGTTGTACAAAATTTGAAAATTTCGATGAAATACCAAGAAGGGACCTCGGGCATCCTCTTGCTTTTCAAGCCATTGACTCAACCTAAGGTGTAATACAAACTAAATATAATGTTTTCTTTTCCAGGCAAGACAGATCAACGTGGATAATGTTTCGACGCTTTATTAAAGTGACATGTTTTCTAATAACAGATTTGTGCATGACAACAAAAGAAAGCTTATCATTCAGACATTATTTATTTTGTGACTTGAAATGTGTCGAATATTAATTACACAAGCTAGAGAAAAAAGGCTAAGGTTGGCTAAGGTGAATAAGTTGCAATCGGCTTTCATCTACGAACAAGTGATCTAGTGGTAAAAACAACATATTGTGTAACGTGCCACTGTGGTTGAAGTCCTACAAAAGGCATTTTCTGACTTGAAATGTGAATAATTAACTTATCGTAGGCTTCTAACAACGAGCAAGTTTTCTAGTGGTAAAGACTACAGGCTGTGTAATGTACCATTGCGGTTCAAGTCCTACAGAAGTCGTTTTGTGACTTGAAAGAGGGTGAGAAAGGCTATTCAGTTCGTGAGCCGTGAATGGTCAATATTTGTTCGCATGACTATGTGAAATGCTTGATTTTAGTGTCGTGAAATGTGATTTGTTCTACAGCCGTGAGGCGTGATTGTTGATAAAAATGCTCCGTGAAATGAGAATTAAGGATGCCTGTTTCGTAAACTGTAATTATTATAGTGATTATTATAGTGATTATTTTAGTAATTATTATAGTGATTATTATAGTGATTTCTACTGTAATTATTATAATAACCATGATACGCGATAATCAAATTTATATCATCTCACTCGATTGCACAACAGTAAAAACTTCGGTGGCCTTTCGCGAGGTTCCTGACGCTGAGGACAAGGTTCTGACACTGAGGACAACGTTCCTGGCGCTGAGGACAAGGTTCCTGACGCTGAGGACAAGGTTCCTGACGCTGAGGACAAGGCTCCTGACGCTGAGGACAAGGTTCCTGACGCTGAGGACAAGGTTCCTGACGCTGAGGACAAGGTTCCTGACGCTGAGGACAAGGTTCCTGACGCTGAGGACAAGGTTCCTGACGCTGAGGACAAAGTTACTGACGCTGAGGACAAGATACCTGACGCTTAGGACAAGGTTCCTGACGCTGAGGACAACGTTACTGACGCTGAGGACAAGGTTCCTGACGCGGAAGACAAGGTTCCTGACCTGAGTACAAGGTTTCTGACGCTGAGGACAAGGTTCCTGACGCAGAGGACAAGGTTACTGACGCTGAGGATAAGGTTCTTGACGCTGAGCACAAGGTTACGGACGCTGAGGACAAGGTTCCTGACGCTTAGGACAAGGTTCCTGACGCTGAGGACAAGTTTACTGACGCTGAGGGCAAGGTTCCTGACGCTGAGGACAAGGTTCCTGACGCTAAGGACAAGGTTCCTGACGCTGAGGACAAGGTTCCAGACGCTGAGGACAAGGTTCCTGACGCTGAGGACAAGGTTCCTGACGCTGAGGACAAGGTTCCTGACGCTGACGACAAGGTTCCTGACGCTGATGACAAGGTTCCTGACGCTGAGCACAAGGTTCCTGACGCTGAGGACAAGGTTCCTGACGCTGAGGACAAGGCTCCTGACGCTGAGGACAAGGTTCCTGACGCTGAGGACAAGGTTCCTCGCGCTGAGGACAAGGTTCCTCGCGCTGAGGACAAGGTTCCTCGCGCTGAGGACAAGGTCCTTACGCTGAGGACAAGGTTCCTGACGCTGAGGACAAGGTTCCCGACGCTGAGGACAAGGTTCCTGGTGCTGAAGACAAGGTTCCTGACGCTGAGGACAAGGTACCGCGCGCTGAGGACAAGGTTCCTGACGCTTAGGACAAGGTTCCTCGCGCAGAGGACAAGGTTCTTCGCGCTGAGAACAAGGTTCCTTACGCTCAGGACAAGGTTCCTGACCCTGAGGAAAAGGTTCCTGACGCTGAGGACAAGGTTCCTGACGCTGAGGACAAGGTTCCTCGTGCTGAAGACAAGGTTCCTGACGCTGAGGACAAGGTTCCCGACGCTGAGGACAAGGTTCCGCGCGCTGAGGACAAGGTTCCTCGTGCTGAGGACAAGGTTCCTGACGCTGAGGACAAGGTTCCTGACGCTGAGGACAAGGTTCTGCGCGCTGAGGGCAAGGTTCCTGACGCTGAGGACAAGGTTCCTCGCGCTCAGGACAAGGTTCCTGACGCTGAGGACAAGGTTCCCGACGCTGAGGACAAGGTTCCTGGTGCTGAAGACAAGGTTCCTGACGCTGAGGACAAGGTACCGCGCGCTGAGGACAAGGTTCCTGACGCTTAGGACAAGGTTCCTCGCGCAGAGGACAAGGTTCTTCGCGCTGAGAACAAGGTTCCTTACGCTCAGGACAAGGTTCCTGACCCTGAGGAAAAGGTTCCTGACGCTGAGGACAAGGTTCCTGACGCTGAGGACAAGGTTCCTGACGCTGAGGACAAGGATCCTCGTGCTGAGGACAAGGTTCCTGACGCTGAGGACAAGGTTCCTGACGCTGTTGACAAGGTTGCGCGCGCTGAGGACAAGGTTCCTGGCGCTGACGACAAGGTTCCTCGCGCTGAGGACAAGGTCCTTACGCTGAGGACAATGTTCCTGACGCTGAGGACTAGGTTCTTGACGCTGAGGACAAGGTTCCTCACGCTGAGGACAAGGTTCCTCGTGCTGAGGACAAGGTTCCTGACGCTGAGGACAAGGTTCCTGACGCTGAGGACAAGGTTCCGCGCGCTGAGGACAAGGTTCCTGACGCTGAGGACAAGGTTCCTCGCGCTGAGGACAAGGTTCCTCGCGCTGAGGACAAGGTTCCTGACGCTGAGGACAAGGTTCCTGACGCTGAGGACAACTAGGTTCCTGAGGCTGAGGACAAGGTTCCTGGTGCTGAGGACAAGGTTCCTGACGCTGAGGGCAAGGTTCCTGACGCTGAGGACAAGGTTCCTGACGCTGAGGACAAGATTTTCCGGCGCTGAGGACAAGGTTCCTCACGCTGAGGACAAGGTTCCTTACGCTCAGGACAAGGTTCCTCACGTTGAGGACACGCGCGAAGGTCGTCGTACATTCTCGTCACTCAAACTTGTAAGTTATCGTATGATGTAGTTTTTAACTGACAGGTAGAGAAATGAGAGAACTTAAAGCGTAGATACTGTACCATGCACTAAACATAGTCTTAATAAACCTATTATTATTATATTATTTTATGAGAATCTAGTTTTCCGTGAAATTGCTTTTTTAAGACACGTGAATCGTGAAACGGCTTTTTTTTCGTTGTGAAACGTGATCCTTACCCCCCTTCCTTCCCACCTCCCACCCTCTTGTAATGGGTATAAAAAAGATTATAATTGTCCAAAACATAACACATACCGCTGCAGAGAGAATTGTTAAACATTTTCACGGTAATATATATAAATGGGGTTTTATAGTACTATATTTTGAACAGTTTTGATCTTTTTCGTACCAATATAAACATCTATTGGTCCTCTTCATATAGTAATATATTAAAACTCCAGGGTAATTTAGGATCTAAACACCCCCTGTCCATAATTTTCAGGTATTTCTGTTATTATAAAACACAAAGGCAGAAAAAATACAAAACAGAGAAAGCAATATGAAACACAAAAGCAGAAAAAATGCAGGTGAAAATACAAAAACACAAAGGCGGAAAAAATAGCTTCTGTTTACTTTGCTGACATTGAAAATATTCGTAAATTTTGTCTCCAATTAATTTATTTCTATTCTAAAACGGTATTTATTTAGTAGAAATGAAGCGCAGAAAAATAATTCCATGTATCTTACCTGTGAGAAAAAATGTTTCTTCTTGATTAAGAATTGTGGCATGATGCAAGGAGCCATGCAAAAACTCGGCATTATCTCTCGATGTTTTTTCATAGCTTTTAAGTCCTTCAGCCTTTTTGTGCAAAACCAGGGGGTGAGAACGCCGTCCGAATCTGAGGATCGCGGTTGGCCAGTGGTGATTATCATGAAGATTTGGGACCGGTGGCGTCATTCTGGCGTGAGCAAACGTGAACATCCGCCATATTTTTGGCTTCACCTTTTGACACGGAGCAGAATTTATTCAATTAGTTTGCTGTGTATTTGGCCAATTTTACTTCTAATTTTAAGCCAGTGCCAGATATAGATGGAACTGGGGTATATAGTAAAATTGTCTAATGCAAACTGCAGTCGAACCCTTATATCAGGCAGTAACATCTTCGGGCCTCACAGATGTGTCCTCTTAAACCAGGTGTCCGTATAATTAATAGGGATTTGCAACAGCAAACACAACAGGATTGAGGTAACGCCTAACTAATTTAGAAACAGTAGTGGCCAAAGGTATAAATGTGTCAACTGAGGAGCTGGTTGTGCATGCGAGTTTTTTCTTGCAACTGGGTGAAGGACAATTAAAGAAAGAAACCTACTATGGTTTAGGAGAAGATAATTTCAAGTTATCAGCGTTTATATTAAACAGAAATATTGCAAAACATTAATAATAAATAGGTGTCTGGTGAGTTTTGTAAATATTGAAATTTATACTGTTCATTATGAGGAAAATCTAAACATATTTGCATTTATCAGTCACGTTTGTCAGCTTCAGAGAGATTACCTGGTTCTTTGGGAACTCGAGTTAAGTGTCCGCTTAATTCCGCTTAATAATAATAGACGTGTCGACTGAGTACGGGTAATGACAATAATGTTTTCCCAAAGAAATCATTCGGACCGAAGATCAAGGCCATAAATCACAGACATGATTTATTCTACTTCCTTCGTAATTTGCATATCACGTTGAAATATGGCTTCTGCAGTAAACAGAAAATTACATTACGCGATGTTGTAAATCACAAAATCAGAGAATATATGGTAGGTCGTTTGCAATTTGCCTCAGTCGCTTGCTATAAATCAAAGTCTGTCGAAGTATTTAGCGTAATGTTGACTTGATTTTAGTTAGTGACTATTCTGCATTTTCAGTATTTGTACAGAGGTTAGTTTGTACGGAACTTGTCTATTTAACTTTATTTAAGAATACCGCACTATAGCCACTAGAAACAAACGAAAATGCAGAGTAGGCAGTAACTTACACCAGGCAAACACTACACGATATATTTCAACAGACCGTGTTCTGCAACCAACAATCGAGGCAAATTGCAAACGACCTGCCAATATTTCTAATTTTGCAATTTAAAGCATCGCGTAATATAATTTACTGTTTACTACCGAATTGGTAAGGAAGTATAGAATAATCATGTCCGTGATTTCTGGCCATGATGTGTCCGGAGTTAAGAGTGTGCTTAGGTGTCTGCTTTAGAGGCATGTCTGTTAATAGGAGTTCAACTGTACACTGAAATTCGGCACAACAATCTTACCTCGGAACAACAGTCTGACCTCGGCACAACGGTACTTCCTCGTCACAACGGTACCGGTCTATCTGGGCACATCAGTCTCTATAGGTACCATGCATGGTCCTATCTCGTCATAACGGCCCTATCTCTTTCTGGATTTTTTTTCTCAAACGAACGTCTATTGACCGTTACGTTGCTGGGTTAAGCACGCAATTTGTACAGTTATAACTACTTCATTATTTATTACATAGCTCATCAAATTTGATCAAATACAACTATCCTAGCGATTTAATTTTTCAACTGATTTTAACCTTTCCCAAATTATTTCTTTTGGTGAATAACGAACAAGAAAAAGAGGACGGATATTCCTATTATGGCTAACTTACTGCACAGAAATGCTTAGCTAGGATATTCGTCCATTTTAGGCCTTAAAATGTTCTCTTGGGCGACAATTCATTTGAGAAAGTGGCGAAGCTTGGGAGTAAGGAACTGGGCGGTACGTCCGGAAGCATATATGTGCCCCCTAACTTTTGTTGTATTTTCAAAATAATCATTCAGGCCAAAATTTATTGCGGTCTTTGCATTGTTTATTTGAAACAGAGTTGATTTGGGATAAAGTGCTTTCGGAAGTTGGTATACCCATACTCATTTACAAAGAGAACCCTGGGTACGAGGTTGTCGAGAACTTAGAATTTTAAAGCAATAAGAATTGTGTGTGCATGTTAATGACATCAATCGTATTACCCTAGAGGCTTTGCACGTATAAAATATCGCTCAGTCCCTTTTTTAAAATAAGAAAATGATTCTTTTTGCTGTAAACCATTGTTTAATAAGTAAAAACAAAATCATTCATGAATTTTTGACGGTCCGGCCGGATAGTTGGATACGCACACGCATGCATCATCCTGCATGAACTCGCATTTCCTGGGGCGGATGTATGTAATACATCCAATTGTCTTTAAATACATAATGTTGGGATATACTGGGCAAGATATCTCAAGCACTAAAAAAGAAGGGTTACTTTATTTTGAGCGACTGATCGGTACGAACTCGTACGTGACCTGAACAAATACCTTAGGCTGGAGTTTAATGCAGCTTTTACTAGCTAAGTTAGTAAGTAATTAATGGTGGTGAGATAAACATCTATATACATGTATAAGCCTTGCATCTGTAAAGCTTCGCTGAATTACGAATGGGGTCAAGGAGACCGGAGCAACGAAAAGCGGAGGGGGAAGCGATTTAATTTGAAAAGGGCTCTTGCTTCTGCATCCTAATTTGCTGTACGGATGTTCGATTAGTACTTGCAGAAACATTGTTTGGAACCATTTTTGTTCAATGCATAACGCTAAAAACTGAATTGCATGGTATATAGAACGGCCTTCTTTCTGTTGGTGGGTTTTTTATATAGGCCTAGCTCGAAACCGAAAGGAGTCAGTTTTAGATTCAAATTTGAGCTAACTGCATCAAAACATTTAAATATGTTTGAAGCGAAACCAGGATTATTCATAATAAGTTTTTAGACGTTCGCTGGTTTTTAAATATTTATTATTACGAGCTTTATTATTATTCACTTCACTGTCGAAAGCTCGTCGAAAGACAGTCGAAAGCTCGTAATAATAAATATTTAAAAACCAGAGAACGTCTGAAAACTTATTATTGCTTCAAAACAGTCGTCTTCAATTTCAATTCATATTAATAACGCACGACTTTCGATCGATGTGTTGTTCTTGTAAAAGAGCAACTTGTTGCAGCCGTGCTTCCACGCGCTATTTGAACAAGGGGGCAGTTGTCCTCACTATTATTATTATTATTATTATTATTATTATTATTATTATTATTATTATTACGAACACTTGAAATGAACGACGAACGTATTATTAAAAAATGTATGGAGGTAGCTCTGAGAGCAACATTCTACATTTACTGCAGAAGAAACAAGCCGTGGAATAATCCAGACTTGCTGAATTTTTATTAGCTACTATTGATGCAAAGTGTAGAGAATGGACCTATCTGTCTAATATAGTGAACTGTTTCTCTATTTTCCTGATTTAATTGAAAGTCTAATTATGTGATATATTTGTATAAATTATCATGTTATTAATAAAGATTTCTGTTGTTTAAAAAATTATTATTATTATTATTATTATTATTATTATTATTAATGTTATTAATATTATTAAAATATTCCTGAAATGGACCAATCGACAATCAACGAAACTCCTACGGTTGAAAAGGAAGATATTGCGAATTTAAGAAAAGGTATTAAACTCCCTAAAAGCAATTCCGAATGGTCAACGGCCAACGAACATTTCAAATTCGCTCTTCAGTCCAATGATCCAATCACACCACAAGATTTAAATTCCAACATAAAACTATTAAATAACATCATATACGATTACTTCGCCCAAAACTTTGGTCATAGCGAATCAGTGCCTGACAATTCGCTACTAAACAAATATAAGGACTATGAAATCAAGGATTTGAAAAAAGCCTTGAAAACCCTTAAATCAACGAATGGTGAACTAGACGAAATTAAATATGTGTCGCATATATTGCGTGATAAGCTTCGCTCAAACAATAACAATGAGTCAAGTCTAGACAGCAGCCAGTCACTTAACCATGACAAATATCGGGAAAAATTTCTGGGGTTATGTCAAGAATATTCTAAGGAAGAAAGACACTATATTACCATCTTTCAACATGACGCAATGCATATCCCACTTCACTAAGACCCTTGCTGCAATTCATCCAAACAAATTGTTCAATATTCCTAGCTGGATTCCTGCGTTGTCTGACCCCGAAGTTCAATTTGACCTTGACCCCCCATCGTATCAACAAGTCACGAATATAATACGCAGAACGAAGTCATCTGGCTCTCCATGTCCCCTTGATCAGCTATCTATTATATGTTTTAAACGCTGTCCTTTCCTAAGAACATATTTAACTGACCTTATTCGTGCCGTGTGGCTATCTGGAACCATCCCTTCAGAATGGAAGAAAGCTTGCACAATACTAATCCATAAAAAAGG